CTCTTAAAAGTAGAGCCAAAATTTAAAAATTAGGAGATGGAGAATATATTACATAAAGACCCATTTTCTAGTTACTAGAGATTTTGTGCTTGTACTTGTTTCAGGAATGTTCAAAGGCCCAGCCTTACTTGATGATGAACTTTCTTTGGTCTCAATGGTCAACATTGTTGCTGTTGATAGGACTCAGCAAAATCTAATATTTGGGTTTTTAAGCCTTGCGTGAAATGTTACAATGGAGCCTATTGACTGAAATGTTTTATAATCTCTGCTGTAGAATGTTAGTCTCCCACTCTGTTAATGTAATTTAGGAAAGCCCTCCAATAAAGTATCTTTTGTCTGTAAAGTATTTTGCTACATACCATCTGAGAACAGTTTGATTGTGTTGGATCTGATGAAGTGGACAGGGTCTTTGACACTGTCAATGCAACTGCCTGTCAATTAGATCTTTGTCCCTTCTAGTTGGTAAAAGCCTCCAGGATGGTGACTGTCAGATGGGTTCAAGCAGTGATACGTTCTTTATTACAGGAAGAGACCCCATCTCCGGGACCTTTTAAGGGGGCCCTGATTTACTCCCTGCTCAAGAAACTATTACTTGATCCCACCTGCCTGAACAATTTATGTCCAGTTTTCCTAAAAAAATTAGAAAGGCTGGACAATTTATGGATGAAATGGACTATCTATACCTCTCGAATCAGGTCCGACAGGAACAGCATTGTTGCACTTGTTGATGATCTCTGGTGAGCCCGGGATGGGGACAGTGCAACTATTGTTGCTCTCCTTGACCTCTCAGTGGCTTTCAGTGCCATCAATTATGGTATCCTTTTGAGCCAGCTATGGGGTTTGGAGCTGGGCAGCAGAGTCTAGTGCTGGTTTGGCTTCTTTCTCCAAGGCCAGTCCCAATCGGTGTTGATAGGGAGTGAGACGTCTAACCGACGGCCGCTCCTTTGTGGTGTGCTGCAGGGCCTGGTATTCTCTCCACTTGTTTTTAACATCTACATTAAGCCACTGGGTCACCAGAGGTGGAAATATAAAGTTGGGTATCATCAGCATACTGATATTCATCACCACAGGTTGAAATATCAGTATGCTGATGATACCCAACTTTATATTTCCACCTCTGGTGATCCAAGTGATGCTGTAACTGCCCTCTTGCAGAGCCTGAAGGCTGTGGGGCCTGAATGGGGAGCAACAGGCTTTGGCTGGAAAGACTGAGTGGCTTTGGGTGCATGGAGCTTCAAGATCTGGAACTTTAACAACTTTAGTTCCGGATAGGGTTGCACTATCCCAGACAGACCGAGTCCACAACTTGGGAGTTCTCCTGGATTTGTGACTCCTGTTTAAGAGTAGTTAGCAGCTGTGGCAAGGAGACCCTTTCCACAACTTCATGTAGTGCAGCAGTTGGACCCTTTCCTGGACTGGAAGTCCTTGCACTCAGTCACTCAAGCCTCAAACATCTCATGTTTGGACTACTGCAATACACTCTGCATGGGAGTACCCTTGAAGAGCATTTGGAGGCCACAACTGGTGCACAGTGTAGCAGCATAGGCAGTTCTTGGGGCCCTTAGGGTGATTCATGTTACACCACTGCTCCACGACATCTTGGAACATCTTAACCCTTGAGTTGAAATTGGTTCCCACCATTCTCGCCTTCCATTAAGGGCTAAAGACTTGGCTCTGCCAGTTGGCTTGGAACCCCAATGGGGGAGTATCACAGTGGAGATGGTTGATAAATTAAGAGAAAATCCCTCCTTCTCTCCCCCCCATACATCCTGTTACCTCCTTTCCCATCTTTTAAATGTAACATTACTTCCGATTGCAATTCTATTTTTATTGCTTTTTGAAATATTTATCTTCTATGGTTTTATTGCTTTCATGATGTACACCATGCAGAGTTGCTTCAAAGCAAAATGGGCAGCAAAATGAACGAACGGATGGATGGATGGATGGATGGATGGATGGATGAACGGACGGACGGACGGATGGACAAACAAACAAACAAACAAACAAACAAACAAACAAACAAACAAATATTTTACCACTCAGTTGCTACATATGTAATGGTGCCTCTACATATTTTCCTCATCTGTGGAGTAAATGAATTATGCAGTACTATTGTAGTTTCATTACAACTAACTATTTTGGGGTTCAGGAAAGGATTTAAGTGTCAGTGCAGTTGCTCCCAAAAATGCCGAGGGGGAAAAAAATACCAGCGTAAAGACCGGCTCTGTTTGAGGCTCTGTTTGGAAGCTCTTCTGGACCTCACTAGCTGAAATTCCTTGACTGACAGGATCCACACCATGCCGCTTCTGCCAGCAAGGCTGGGATGGGCCCGTCCCCTTGGGGTGAGACGGTACCTCAAGTAACCTGGGCCCATGCCAGGCAGAGTTTTAAAGGAGCCTCCAAACAGAGCCTCTTCATTGCTCCCAATGGAACCAGGATGGATTCTTCAATTCTTCCAAGCCTACAGCATGCATTATATAGTCACCATATAAACTGAATAGGCAAAATAATGCAGCCCCATCTGTCTCATTTTTTGATGGTAAATCATCCAGCGTTATCAAATCCATTCTTACCTTGGCTTCCTGCTTATTGTAAAAGTTTTCTTATTATTTTCAGACAAATATGAATGGTTTTTCATATTTGTGAAGTATGTATGCTTTAGGCTGTTTCTTTTTTTATTATTTGTGGCTCTAATTCTTATATTCCTGCTAATATAACCAAACATTTATGTATTTGGGAATCAAATAAAAGACTCAGTTTGGCTTTGTACCAAATAAAGCTTTACATTCTTGGATGATTTTTGCAACTCAGATGTAAAATTATTGAATAAGTCTAAATATTTATCTTTAGCAATAGCATATGAAAATGCAAGTCCAGCTACATTGTCCATCTCTCTTTCATGAATCATAAGATTCCTGTGGTTCAGTGTACTTCAAGAAAGCAAAATCTTCTTTTCAGAAGCTACCAGAAGAGTCCATTTTCCTATGGGGACAATACATAGGCAAGGCAAAATACATAGAACGAGAAACAAGCTCAGACAGATCCATAGGCGGTGTGAAAAACAAGTCAGAAACAGAGCAAATAAATTATTTCTTTTTAATGGAAGATAAATTGCTGGACAAATAGTTCTTTATGAGCAGGATTCTTAGTAGGCAATCTCTGTACAGCATGCTAAACTGCTATTAAAGGGAAATGCTGATCTTTTGTACACCAAATTCCTCAGAATTTGTATCTAACTTTTAAAATCTCACACAGCCAGAATTACTAACAGAACTTTCTGGATTAAAAGAAATTCTCAGGATAAGGAAACTTTTTCAGGCAGAAGGATACGCTAATCAGTACTTTTGAAGGGTTGCTAAGGATCTATCTTGGGCACAATTTCAAAATTAAATGTGACTTAATGAAGCACATACGATGCCACTAAGACAACCCAATGGAACTTAAGGCATATGAATCTCTGGGGCAGAATTTAAGGGATATGTATTTCTGTTTCTCTTTATTAAAAAGAATACAAACATGTCACATTTAAATACAAGTCTGTGCCCCCTGTAATATAAGCTTCCCATTAATGTAATTTATTTTGTTAAACAGTATATCTAGTATGCATAATATGTATGCACATTTAGTAATTGTTATTATATTTTAAGTAAAATACATCACAGCACACTAGGAAAAAGATTGAGAAGGCATGATTTTTTACTCCTAAAAGGCTATTGGTAATCAAAGATAAAAAAACAGAACGCAAGTGAGATATCATCAAGGCAGAGTAGTGGGAAAATCACTTCTTCTGATTTGGACTCCATGTTCTTCTTGAAGCTCAAGATGTCCTTGGCTTTCTTTGCAGCTTCGTGACACTGTTGGGACATGTTGAGTTGAGTACATCCGAGTCCTTCTAGCATATCCTGTTCTTAAGTCAACTTTCTTCCATCCTGATATTTTCCTGATGAAATTTAGACTGTTAGCAAATAATCCTTTCTACAAGGGTGGGGGGAGAAATCTATTAAGATTTTCTGCCCTGGAGTCTCACAGATTCTTCTAAATTCCATAGGGATCTGGGGAGTTTCCTGCTGGTATGGCCAGGTGCTTCTTTCAAAGCCCTGGTTGCTCTGTGGAATATAGATCCAAAGGTATCCTAGGCCAGGGCTTTTCAACCAGTGGTACGGGTACCACCTGTGGTACATTGGCACCTGGCAGGTGGTACGCAACCATCCTAAAAAAGTGGGAGCGGGGGAGGGGAATGAGAGCGCTGCCGGGCAGGCAGGCGTCTTGCTCGGCTGTGCCTTGGGGGGCACTTTTTTCAGTGCCATTATAACTTCGAACAGTCACTAAGCGAACTGTTGTAAGTCGAGGACTACCTGTACTTTATCACTTTTTTCCTTTTTTTTTGTCAAGTTTTTGACACCTTGCTAGGCGACTGGTGGTACTAGGATATTGCCATATCCTAAAAGTGGTACAATGGGTAAAAAGGTTGAAAAGCCCTGTCCTAGGCAGTTGTCATGATCACTCATAAACACTCTGTCCCTGCCTGCAAAGACTGAGCTGAGAGCTATGAAGCTACAAAGATCACCTTCCTCCCAACTGGTCAAAAAACCCACATGCAAACTTTGCCCTGCAGTCTGTGTTAGGCTAATAACATGTCATTGGACTGAACTGGATTCAGCTTCAAGCACCAGCAGAGTCAGCAGCAACAGTAGACTCAAGGGCAAGCTGGTATGGCAACCAGTTACCTTCTGGATCAGGAGAGGGAAGAACCAGAAGAAAAAAAATAAGCAAAAAATGTCTAATCTCACTTCTCATCCTAACATCTTCTCCTCACCTGGCTAGTTTTTTTATTGAAAAAAAACCTGCTTTTATGGTCACATATCAAGTACTCTGTTTCCCTAATCCTCCTTCCAAACTAAGTTATTTAAAAGCGTTGACTTGGATCTTAATACAGACTAATTTAAATGTGGAACATTTCTTCTCCCAGGGCTACAAAATTTGGATGATCAGTAAATGGCAGCAGAGAGATACAAAAACCTCCAAGATTATGGTCATGTGTCAAGTACTCTGTTTCTCTAATCCTCCTTCCAAACTAAATTAAGTAGACACATTGGCTTGGATCTTATGACAAATTAATTTAAATGTTATAGAACATTTCCAGGGCTACAAAATTTGGATGATCAGTAAACGGCAGCAGAGAGATACAAAAACCTCCAAGATTACTGGTGATAATTATACAGCTGTTCTAATAATGCCTTCTTAACCATTCCATATGGGGGAATCTTCAAAAACATCTACATAGCTACGTAGCCCAGTTAGGACAAAAGAGGAATGCATTTGGTGATAATCAGGACAGACTCTCGCTCACTCTCACTCTCACTCTTGCTCTCTCTTGCTCTACATCTATCTATCTATCTATCTATCTATCTATCTATCTATCTATCTATCTAATTAATATGCCACCCATCTCACTATCCAGAGTAACTCTGGATGGCTTACAATGGCATAAAAGCATGAATAGCAGACGCTGCCGGTTAAATAATTCCAACTGGTGGGGTCCAGGATGAGAGCCTCTCTGCCATTACCCCACCCTGTGGAATATCCTCCACCCCCCAGAACTGAAGCAGGCCCCTACTCTCCTGGCCTTACAGAAAGGAATGAAAACATGGTGTTGTGGCCTTTGTGGGGAGCCCATAGGAGCATGCAGCCATGGGGCTGGTTAGCAGTCTGAAAGCCTTCCCTTCGCCTGTCAATTAATTTTTAATAATTTTAATCACACGTACCTCTTTTGTCAATTTTTAAAATTTTTATATACTGTTTTCATGTTTAATATTTTACTGTACAGTCCCAGAGTCCCTGTGTGAGGGATATGGATGATTCTAAAATGTGATAAATAATTATAAAAGCATAATAATTAAATGAAGGTGAAAAACCAAGAGCACAGAGGTATTCTCTGTCTCTTACTCAATCAACCAACTCCAGCACAGTGAACCCCCCCCCATTGGGGCCTCCAGCCGACAAATTAACACATTTTCCCACTGCTTCCTTCCTATTCTCACTGTGGCTGTGGCTTTTCTAAGTTTAAGCATGTTATCCAAACAAAAAGTATCATTTCCCACTAGCAGTGATAGTACTCTAAGTGCTAAATGAATAGGGTTCAAAATGCTACTTAAGGAACGGTAGCCAGTCTGAATTTGGACAGTTCATTTAATCACAGACAAGCCACTAATTGTTGATAAAGAACCACCCATGAAAGTGGCAAGGAGATGGTGTGTCATTCACTGTTACAACTAGAATGGTTTAGCATACTGGAGAAGCTTCAGCTGTGGCATCAAAAAGAGCCTGAAGGTAAACAGAAAACCCAGTCCAGATTTAAATATACAATAGCACTTTTATTGCAACAACTGTCTTATAAGTTAAAATGCGATTGGCAGTTTTATGAGACTCAAAAGTTGTTCCTAACACAAGCAAGTCATTATTTGTTCACATTTGGCTATATGAATGTCTTACAGATTAAATCTAGTTTTCCAATAGAAATTGAATAATGTAAGGAAAAATATGAAAAGTGCAATACAGCAAACAAATTTTATCGACTGAATATTGTATCCTAATAATTTAATTTTTGCAGCAGGAGCACTTTCTCAAAAGACACCAGTGTTGTGTATCTTTTTAAACTGAAAAACAATGCCCCGTTTCAGTTCCAGACTAAAAACTTTAAGATATGAGCAACAATCAGCAAGAAAGCCCCACTGAGGGCTATCTTGCTGGCTACTACATTTGGAGCATCATTACACAAATTCCAGTTGCAGCAATTCAATTTAAAGTTACTCAGTGATAAAGCTTCTGAAATAAACTTGCTATTACAGGTAGAATACTTCCAGCAGGTAGATATATTTCCACTACCTTAAAAAAAACAAGATTACAAATTAGATTGTATCCTACTTAATTTAAAAAAATATAAAAGAAAATAAGATAGTCTGTACAGTAATTTCATAGTTTTTTTTATAGATTGTTAAATGGATATTGTTGGTGTCTTTATACCCTACTTTTTTGTATAAAATCACAAAAGAGTTTTTAAAAATTGTTTTAAAGATTTTGAATTGGCTTAAATCAGGAGTAAGCAACCTTGGTTGTTTTATGACTCGTGGACTTCAACTCCCAGAATTCCTGAGCCAGCCATGCTGGCTCAGGATTTCTGGGAGTTGAAGTCCACGAGTCATAAAAGAGCCAAGGTTGCCTACCCCTGGCCTAAATCATTAATCGAAAAAAAAAAAGCAATCTTATTTCACTGGGAGATTTTACCATCTGGGTTCTATCACTCCTTTATTCCAACATTTGACAACAGCTTTAGGCCAAATAAGACAGAAAAAAACCCTAAGAAACATTCATTTTTTTCCCACCAAAATAAAGGGGAAAAGTAAAATAAGCAATGATTTCTTAGCTACCCACTAACAATCTTTAAGTCATAGTTTGCATAATTAAGCATTTGGTTTAGTAAAACAAGTACTTACAAGTACAAATGTAACTATGTAGCATAATTCTAGCAGTTTTTAGAAAACAAAAAAGTTGAAAACAAAAAAATACCAGAAGAAGAGTAGCTATGGTCAGTTCAACTGAATTCACAAAATTGTGAGGGAGAGGGAAATTGCTTGAACAGGGGGTTGTATTAGGAGACCACCAAGGTCCCTTTCGTTGTTATTCTGCTACAGAGTAACTAAAAGCCTCTAATACAGGGGTGTCAAACTGCTGGCCCGCAGGTCAGATGTGTCATGGCGAAACCGCGCCAACCCCATTGCCGGCAATGGAAAAAAAGTCACGATACATCGCGACATGTCACATGGCATGAGGCTAGAAACAGGAGACTGTGAGTTCTAGTCCTACCACAGGCACAAAGTCAGCTGTATGATTTGGGGCCAATCATTCTTTTTCAGCCCTACAAAGGACGCAATGGCAAACTACTTCCAAAAATCTTTGCCAGGAAACTTCAGGGATTTGTTCAGGCAGTCATCAGAAGTAAAAAAAAACAAAAAACCAAAACCTCAGAGGCACACATGCAAACAGTTTGATTGTTATTCCCTCCAGGTGAAACTCTATATTTAAATTTTATCCTGACTTCATTTGTGCATATTAAGCTGCTCAGATAATTAAAATAAATCTAAACATCATGTTAATAAATTTGTATATTTTGTCAGAAATTAAATATAAATTAGATAAAGTTATATACTCACCGTACTGTAGTATTATGCAAGTATCTTGGTCGGCTCTGCAGGTCATATTTTTGTTACACATAGCAGATTTACAATTGTAGCACACTAAAGCACTTCCTAAATAATCAAGGAAGAAAAGAAACTAAACAAAATGTTCCTTTCTGAAACAGAATCCCTGTTAGAAAACAAATTATAAGTAGTCCTTTCTTCCTGTTTTTTTAAGCCATTGTTCAAAGTTTTAACAATGTTAAAAAAACAGCTTTGCGACCAATCAATGTATTTACAACTATTATATCATCATTCACAGTTTCACAACTAGCCCCTGACAAGCGGAGTTCAGGTTTCAAAAAATCTTGCCAAAGGCTTCCGGTTCCAGTTTGCTGCGCTGGCGAACGTGCGGTGAGATCGCTCTCCCCGCCGTCCGGTTTTCCTTCTTCAGGAGACCCTGGAAAGTCATCCGTTGGGGAGGACTTCGCCAGATCGCGGAGAGGCAGCAGCCTCTCCGTTTGATCTGCGGCAACTCCTCAGGACCGAAGAAGAGTCTTAGTCGCACCAGTCGAAAGCCCAAAGCACTAATAAGCCTGATGAAACAACTGGAGGAGTTGGATGAGACCTTACCTTTCCTTCTTTTTTTCCCAACTACTTTCCTGTAAAAATCCTTAAAATACCCTTTTTCCCCAGCTTCATTTCGCGGCTTTTGCTTACCCCGGGAACACAAAGCCAAGAAACAAATAAACAAACAAACAAAAAGAACAATAAGATCAAAAGACCACATACCTGGACTTGTAATATCTGGATACCTGGGCTCCCTAAAAGCTCTGTATTTCTATAAAATGTATTGTTTTACTTTTTTGCTAAGCTGGAAAAAAAAGAGGAACATTCTTTTGTTTTTCCTCTCTTGAACCGAATAAAAGCTCCATTCTGTATGTTACTGGGGATATCTTGTGGTGAAATTTGGTACAGCAAGTGAAAAAAAATATTTTTTTTTCTGACTGGGAGACTCCTGAGACTAAAACTTGTCCTTGAGAGCAACAAAAGATAAGAACTTGAAACAGCTGGGTGGAGAAAATATCTCTTTACAGTGGAGGTGGATAGTTATTAACTTTTATTAAAAACAGCCTCCACTAAAGGACTATTTGTAAACATTACAGAAATGGAGGAACACCACCCACAGCTTAACGTCAAACATATACTCAAAAAAATCCTAGAGACCACTGAGCTAGTGAATTCTAGAATGAAAGACTTACGTGCCACTTTAAAGCTACAAAATGCAGCTTCAACCTCATTAGATGAATCTACATCCCAAAAAGCAATAGAAGAATGAACTAATAACAAAGTAGATTTTAAAGAATGCCAGCTACAATCTACTCAGAACTCCGACACCCAAACTTTGACTTCACTTGAAGACTTTACAACTACAACAACAACAGAAACTCAACAAAGCAATGCTAAGATGGAATGTGCAGAGGACTTACATACACAATATACTGAGATTCTAGACAACCCAGATGATCCAAGAATAACTACAACACTGAACATGACCTTTCATCGAAACCAGCCGAAACCAGAAGAAGAAGAAGATCAGTCTGAACGTATGATAAATGCATTAACTCAAATATGGAGACCTAAACCATTTGGCCAACAATTCAATGATTGTGAAGGGACTGGCTTCCTTGATAGGCTGATGATTGGATGGTCTCCCCTGATTCAAATGATATATGCAGGAATGAAGAGAGAGCCACTTGAGGATCTAAAAGCTTTTTTATGGAAGCCGGCTTGGCACAAAAGGAAGGCCAGAGTTAGACTTAAAATGGTTTTCTTTATGTGATATTTAATGGAAGAGCTTTAAATTCTACGTAATGAGATAAGGAGACTTTAAAAGATGTTATTTGATTTAGTATTTAGGATTTATATTTATAAGGGAAATAAATTAGTTATTCAAATAATTGTTTTGAATTATAAATGGAAGATGGATTTAGAGGATAAAGGTTATTTTATGAGTAAGCGATGATGTTAGAATGAGAATTAGAATATGACTGTGAAATAAACTAAGAATCTACTGGAATAAAAATAAGTGTATTTTAGACATGATATTATTTTGCATGAACTAAGGGAACCGTGGGTAATCCGAAACTTAAACATTATTGGACACTAAGCCAACAGGAACTTGACTTTTGAAACCAGACAAAAGTCAAAAACAGGATCTGGAGACATATAATTAAAAATGCTTATAAATGTTTTAAATGATTGAGTTATAACTAGCAATTTATTAATTTGAATTTGGTATAATAACTAAGGGAAACAGAGAGGAAATTTTTGATGATGTAAACTGATATATGTATGGATAAGCGTGTTATTGGACTATGTATTACCCAGCCACCATGTTGCTTCCTTAAATATCTGAAGTCTTGTAAAAATGGAAAATTAATAAAACTTGTTTTAAAAAAAATCTTGCCAAGGAAACTACATAGACTTGTTCATATAGTTGCCAGGAGTCAAAACTGACTCAAAGACACACACAAAAAGAAAAACAACAAAAGAGTTCCCTTGAAACTGGATGTCTAGGATTGCCCCAACAATTTACCTGGTTATAAAAGACAGTTTCATACAATTCCAATCAGGAATCTGTTATGGGAAGAATTCAGAGAAAGAAATATTTTGGGGCATATTAAAAAGGCAGAATATATTTCCCCAAAGGAATAATGGAGAAGATCTTTAAAAAGGCAGAAACTTCTCTACACACACACCCAGCCAGACAACTCAGCAGAAACCAGCTTTTAGAAATGCAGATGTAATAATCCATTCAGGAAGGTTGGAGCCTTTCAGCTAGAAACTGAAGAAATTAGGAAGACTCTTAAAATCTAAATACCCCACCCAAATTCTAAGGACAGGAAACATAATAGGATAAACCCACCACCATCAGAATACCAGAAAGGCACACTCAGACTCAGGTCAAAGTACATGACACAGGAAATATAAAGCTTCAAACAGGAAGAGGAAACAACCTCAAGAGCCCCAGAAGGTATAAAAACCCACTCCCTGCTAAATGTGGGCACTCTTTTTTTCCCAGAGCCATCTTTCTGTTTGGCTCTCCTCTTCAATAAACTACAACCTTCTTTCTAAAGCAGTCACCATGTGGTTTAGTCCCGGCTTGGACTGGACCCTGATGAGGATTTTTCCTTCAACACTATCATTCAAAGGGATATAATTTTTTCTATCATAAATTATATCATTCATATAATTCCAAAGCATCAAGCTAAAACTCAGCCAGCCCTTGGAATGATGAACCACCTTCACCTCCCTCTTCTATTCTTCTAGTCCCTGCACTGTTATCATTCAGTTTCCATTTTCCATTGGGTTCACTTACTTACCTGAATGGAGGAACAAAGCCAGAACAAAGGCAGTAATGCCAGCAGTGACCAAAAGGGATTTCATCTTCTTTGTGTCTCCTATTCAACCTACATAATAAAAAAAAATTGTTGTCCTATCAGATGTTCCAAAATAAATACAATAATCTAAACTGAGCAACAATATTTGTATGCCAAGCCTTAACTTTCTATATTTCATGTCATTATGCCAGTCTTATATAAAAGTTTTATGAGTGCTAAGTAGGAATATATTTTTTTCCAGGCAGATGACAGAATATTCATGAAAGGCAACATCATTCAGACCGAAGTAAAGATCTGTTAAATTACTGGCCTCTAAAGTAAAACCACTAAAATGAAATATCATTTCTACTAAACTTGAAAGCACTTTTAAATTGTATATCAAATAGTTGGAATTTACCATAATACAAAGGAAATTGCTTATGTACTCTACCCTCTACTCCATTTCACTGTGTCCTAAAGATACTCTTGCTGGAGAGCTCTCATTAGCTGTATTATTGAAATTGATTTTTCTGCACAATCACATGGGACTTTTGTCTCATAACACATCAGAATCCCAAATGAGTACAAGCATTTTGTGAGCCCAACAGTACAAATGTCAATTAAATTGCACAAATAGTCACATCATTCCTATTGGCAATAAATAGCATAATGCAAAGTGCAAAAAAGGAGTAAGAAAAAAAAAAGAAACAAGAGAAAACAGCTAAAACTAGTTATCATCAACACTATTAACTACCGGTATACATTGCCATACATTTCCATCCTTTTTGCTACTACACCCATATATTGCTTCATACACTGCTTTTTCTTAAAACTTTTCACCTCTGTCTTGGTGGAAATACTAATTCCTTCCAGCCACAATATTGTCAATCCTCT